GTTAGACCAGTTTATGTGTTTATGTAGGATGTTAGACCAGTGTATTTGTTTATGTAGTATGTTATACTAGTTTAAGTGTTTATGTGGTTAATAAAATCTTACTTGTATCACACTTGACGTGGTTCATTGTTTGCTTATAACTGGAGTCACTTAATCATGCAGATTTATGCTACAAGCTTTTGTAGAATTGTACAGTAAGAAAGTTATTTCCCTTAACCAGGAAATTAACGTTCTTAGAATTGACAGACAGTTGACCCTGAGAGGTCAGCTAAATATCTACAGCGGATCTAAAATATTCATAATTAATTATAACTAGTTATGATTAATTATTCATATTTCCCATGAGCTGATTCGTTACAACAGGACAGTATGTTCTGAAGAGTTTATAAAGCAGAAATGTGTGGCTTGTGTTTTCAAGTATTTTTAAAAAGGAAAAGTAATGTTGTTCCAAACCTTACTTACTTTCTTCTGCAGAACACAAAATATATTTTGAAAACTGTTGTTAACCAAACATAGTGATTGAGTCAGTGAGTGAGTGACTGACAGATTGGGTGAGTGAGTGAGTATATTGCTTTACAATATATCTTGGTCTGGTTTTAACTTCCACTGGAAATTTCAAATTGCAATTAAAACATTACTTATAAAAAACCGCAGGGCACTGCATGCCATACAAATTAAATTATTCAAAATAAACATCCCCATCAGAATTTGGACAAAGATTTTCGATAGTGTCATACTGCCTATTGCCCTGTATGGAAGCGGGATCTGGGGCCCAGCGAGTAACTACAGCCATAAAGATTGGCACAAACACCCTTTAGAAGCTCTGCATGTAGAGTTCTGCAGAAGCATCCTTCATGTACACAGAAACACTCCTAATAACGCCTGCAGAGCCGAGTTAGGCCGTCTCCCCCTAAATCTAATCATTAAAAAAAAAGAGTTTTAAAGTTCTGGATCCACTTAAACTCTAATTCGGAAGATTCTCTTCATTTTAAAGCACTAAAACACACAGACATTTACTGACCAAGTACAGACTGAGTGACCACCAGCTGGCCATAGAAAGAGGACAACATGACTGTTACCTAAAGAAGAGCGCATCTGTAATGAATGCAGATCAGGATCAGTTAAGACGGAGGAACACTTCCTCCTCCACTGTGACAAATGCACGTCCTTAAGAGACTCACTGTACATTCAAATACAGCAGAACATTCGTGAGTTCCAGTCACTCCATGAAAATCACAAATTAAGAATATTACTTGAAGGACCTACTTCCTCTTTGGTAGCACATCATATTTATAAATGCCACAAACTAAGGTAAAGAGTGAACACAGCTACATTAGTAATACCATCAATGTTTATATAAATATATATGGATGTATTTTACATGCATTTTTGTTTTGTTTGTTTTTTTAATTCTGCTATGTACAATGCTTTGGCAATATGTACCTTAGTATGTCATGCCAATAAAGCAATGTGAGTGAGTGACTGACTTGAGTGGAGTGAATGAATGAATGAATGAATGGCCAATTCTCAAAATATCTTTTTTTTCTTTAGTTCCATAGGCTAGATAGATAGATAGATAGTAGGGCTGCACGATATATCAAAATTATCGAAATGTCGCAAAGGTAAATATTGCAATATGCATATCGCAAGGCCGTGTGATATCTGAATCATTTTAATAATAGGCTACTTGAATCAAAAGGTTGCAAAAGGTCAAAGTTTTAGTTTGACGCATAAAGCATGGGAATTGCTTGACGTTAAAGAGTTAAGTGCAATAAGTTGCAGAAAACAACTCTTTGCCGTCT